AGCAGTGCAATCATTTTGAAATTTTTATCGTTTACTTATTATGCTTCATTAAGTACTTATACAAAATTTTATTAAAATAAAACCATTTAAACTGGGTGTTCGGTCACTTAGTATATAATAAAAATATTTTTTGAATGCTGAATATTCATTATAATTATACATCAAAATAAACTGTTAGATCTCATCATATCTTAAGATAATATCAACTATATGCAGATGCATTGTAGTGAATGGAACTAAGCCACACAACCTAATAGTTATATAAATATAAATATTTATTTTCCATTGATATGGTAAAGCATAATAATAAAATGAAAGTGGCCTAAAAGATGTTTGTTTCTTCTGTTAATTATTATTCTAGAGAAAAAAACAACGATTTTTAGGGCACATACTTTATTAAAATCGCGCTAGCTCGGAAGTTAGTCTGTGTAGGTTAGAACCCTTCACGCCCAAGACGACGTATCTCATTTCATCTCGGATAATTTTCCGGTCACGCGAGTATATCCTGTGACATTCGCCTAACGATTGGATCATTTGATATGACTTACCTCGTTCCAACATTCTCCCCACCTCACTTTCCTTCACTTCAGCATCACCTTTCCCTAATCGCTCAGCTTCGGCACTACATACTGCCGCTAACGTTAAAACTAATATCATTAAAAACACTAATTTTGACACTTGATTCATTTTGGGCAACTGCTTGTGGTAGAATGACTGGTCTTCATGACCCGTCGTCGAATTTTGTTTGATTTCGGAAGTACATTGGAAAAATCGTCACGTACTAAACAATAAAACAATGCCTTGTTAAGATTTGGAAGTCGAGCAAAATTCAGTGCCGATAAGCGTGTTAGGTGATGGTATGAGTAGGTTGGCACATTTTCTAATGGGATTTTTAGCGCAAAAGGCAAGCGCCTGGGTGAACAAGCTGAAATTCGGTTTAGCTGTTCAAGAACTATAAGGGTGAACGTAGAAGCAACCACAAAAAGTAAGCAAATAAAAACAACTTTAAAATCAAGTACGTGCTGCCCAGAACTTTATTTCTTACATACCATTAGTACAAAATTATTAGTGAAATTTTGACAATAATTAAGCATTTTCATAACACCCGACATAAATTATGAGCAATAAATGTTCCTAAACCAAATAAATACCTAATGAAAAAATCTCAGTTCTATACTAAGTGACATATAAATCCGAACAACCAGTTTAAATGGTTTTATTTTAATAAAAGTTGGTGAATGTATTTATCTTACTGTAAATAACAAGTGAAAAAATGTTCAGCCTTATCAGTTGGACATTCCGGTTTTTATACTGCTTTTTTTTAATTCACTAACGCTCTAAAAATGAATATTTCAGCCGCAGTAAAGAATCAACGTTGGCGGATTTTGGTTCTTGACATCCTTTACGATCGGTTACGATGCCTAGAGTACGGAGACCTGTACGATTTCGTCAACTTAGTGAGTTTGATAGGGGTCGTATAGTGGGACTTCGGGAAGCTGGACTTTTTTTTCGGGCAACTGCAGTTAGAGTGCAAAGAAGTGTAGACACTGTGGTTAGGTGTTGTCAGGCATGGCTTCGAGAAGGCCGTACGCAAAGAGCAAGGGGCACTGGACACCGCTGTAGAACAACAGACCGTGAAGATCGCCGCCTAAGATTATTGGCCTTAAGGGACCGTTTCTTCACTACCAGGTCCATTGCAAATTAATGGTTTGCAGAACACGAAAGACCTATTGGCATGCGAAGTGTTTACCGACGAATGAGAAGTTTTGGCTTGTTTTCATACCGGCCACACTGGGTCCTCCCTTTAACTCGAGAACACCGACGTAATCGCCTTGAGTGGTGCAGACAACGGTCACTCTGGGATCAGGAATGGAACAGTATTGTCTTTAGTAACGAGTCTCGATTTTGTTTAGGCATGCACGATGGTCGTGCCAGGGTTAGAAGGCGACGTGGTGAAAGGAGGAATCCACAGTTTTTTGTTGAAAGACATGTTCATCACACTGTTGGAGTTATGGTTTGGGGTGATATAGCTTATGGTTCCAGGTCACCTTTAATCTTCATCAGAGGTAACATGAACGCGCAGCGTTATATCCACGAAGTTCTAGAACCCCATCTTTTACCCTATCTTGACACCCTGGCAGATCCAACTTTCCAACAAGATAATGCCCGACCACATGTTGCAAGAGTCACAATAGACTTCTTTCAACATAATGATGTCACATTGTTACCATGGCCACCAAGATCTCCCGACTTATCCCCAATTGAGCACGTGTGGGATATGATGAGTAGGAGATTGCTCAATTTGCAACGTCCTCCTCAGACTCTAGAAGCTCTTCGAGAGGAGTTGGTGGTTGCCTGGAATGAGATACCACAGGAGGACATTGACCACCTGATCAGAAGCATGCCTAGGCGCGTTGGAGAATGCGTAGCACATCAGGGTGCATCCACACATTATTAAAGGTCAAAGGGCTTTAAAGCAGTGCAATCATTTTGAAATTTTTATCATTTACTTATTATGCTTCATTAAGTACTTATACAAAATTTTATTAAAATAAAACCATTTAAACTGGATGTTCGGATTTATATGTCATTTAGTATATTATCATAAGGGTCATTAGAATGTAATCATTTCTACTGATTCGTCCTCATTTTCTCTAATATCCACTACAAAGTTGAACAGCTCTAGATGGTAATTCATTATATAAATTACATCAACCGTTCGTTGGATATTGATCAGAAATTAAATTCATATAACGATTGCACCAGTTACTTGTTTATCTTTATTCGATAAACAATCCATATTTTCACTGCATCGGCCGTTCGTGTTTACCTGCTGTTTATAAAAATTAACCAGAGAAAGTTTCATATTTTCCTTACGGTTCAACTTGCATTCCAATATGATATTATTTTTTTGTTTCGGTTTTTTGTTCTACATCGATATGCGACGGAAGTGCACCTGAATATAAAATTCAAGTAGATTGACTCGGAACAGAGCATCACCAGGGCAATATTCTTGTTTTCATCGGTCCGTACCGATTCCGACAACTGTCGGTCGACTCAACCAAATACTTCGTGCCCTAGCCTAGATGCGATGAGCTCGCGGAAAGTACTGCAATACGTACTGACAGATTTAGTTTGCTATATCGACAGCGTGGATTAGAATTGAACTAGCCTGGACGATCAGTACATAATACTGTAGCAGATTTATTATGCTATAAGTAAATATACAGGGTGTCCGCAAAGTTGGGGTTTTCCTTTTCAGAAACAACTACCCTTGAAATAACAAAGGTAATGTGTAGTGAAACGAGGGCGACCAAGTAAAAAAAAAATAAAGTAAAAAGTACTCACTCTCCAGTTGACGAGAAGGGCTAAGTACGTCTCTGCCCGAAATCATACCGCTCCAACAGAAAATGAAATCAGCTGAAGCGCTACCGAGCAGACGCAGAAACCACATTGATTGTCTTACACTTAATGGCACATCTTTTAACAAGGAAGGCAAAATGTTGCGTGAAAAGTCTAGGTATTGCATCCCGTCCAATCGATTTGGGAGAATAAATGGTCCAATGAGCATACCGTTCACCATGCCAGCCCAAACATTCACCGAAAATGTTTGTTGAAAATGGTCCATTGCAAATGAATGGTTTGCAGAACACGGAAGACCTATTGGCATGCGAAGTGTTTACCGACGAGTGAGAAGTTTTGGCTTGTTTTCATACCGGCCACACTGGGTCCTCCCTTTAACTCGAGAACACCGACGTAATCGCCTTGAGTGGTGCAGACAACGGTCACTCTGGGATCAGGAATGGAACAGTATTGTCTTTAGTGACGAGTCTCGATTTTGTTTAGGCATGCACGATGGTCGTGCCAGGGTTAGAAGGCGACGTGGTGAAAGGAGGAATCCACAGTTTTTTGTTGAAAGACATGTTCATCACACTGTTGGAGTTATGGTTTGGGGTGCTACAGCTTATGGTTACAGGTCACCTTTAATCTTCATCAGAGGTAAACATGAACGCGCAGCGTTATATCCACGAAGTTCTAGAACCCCTGGCAGATCCAACTTTCCAACAAGATAATGCCCGACCACATGTTGCAAGAGTCACAATAGACTTCTTTCAACATAACGATATCACATTGTTACCATGGCCACCAAGATCTCCCGACTTATCCCCAATTGAGCACGTGTGGGATATGATAGGTAGGAGATTGCTCAATTTGCAACGTCCTCCTCAGACTCTAGGAGCACTTCGAGAGGAGTTGGTGGTGGCCTGGAATGAGATACCACAGGAGGACATTGACCACCTGATCAGAAGCATGCCTAGGCGCGTTGGAGAATGCGTAGCACATCAGGGTGCATCCACACATTATTAAAGGTCAAAGGGCTTTAAAGCAGTGCAATCATTTTGAAATTTTTATCATTTACTTATTATGCTTCATTAAGTACTTATACCAAATTTTATTAAAAGAAAACCATTTAAACTGGGTGTTCGGATTTATATGTCACTTAGTATAAATCGAACAAACGTTAACAATCCTGACTGAAGCTTGCGTATTTGAATACTAAAAAACGTTTCGCCTATGGTTTAGAGGCAATCAGCGTGAACAACAACGGAATTTCTGGACATTGAAGACCATAAATTTTTAAGCTTTCTACGTTATAAATATACAGCACACTTAGAACTGGACCACATTAAGAGGGCGTTAACAGATGTCCATAAATCTCCCCGGAGACTGTCAGAACAATTTCCTATATTCTTATAGGGTACAATAGACGCAAGGGAGAGGGTATACAGCTAATTTTGGTGTAACATTTTTGGGTGATGAGTTACTTAATTTTTTAGTTATTTACGGTTTTCTCGATAACTACATTTCAAAGTAAATAAATTCCAAGTATTATCGAAAATAAAAAGACATCCATGAGAACGCCCACAGCTAATGACCGTTGGCACCGCTAGATAAACGTCGTTCAGATGGTCCTCTCCTACTTTCCAGCTTTCAGGAAATCTGGGTTAATACCATCGCGTATACGGAGAACCAGATTCTGGCGTCGTTCGATCCGTACTGCCCAGTACGACTCGCGGATCGACTGTGATTAAGCATAAGCATGTACGCGAGCAGCGCCTTGCAATGGTACCTTCTCGGCACGTTTTGGTTCCACGCAATGTGCGGATGGTACTCGGTCGATGGAACCACCTTGCGGAACCACCGTGACGTCGTCGGCGATGGCGGAGAAGCGGTACCGGTACATCGATATTATCAGGAGCGCACCGGTGATAAGGAAGTAGTGCACGGTACGATGGTTGTGAATAGTAGTACCTATCCAAGGAGTGGGGCTGACGATATGGTGATTCGTGATAGTAGTACACAGAGGAACGATAGTAATAACGACGGATTAGGGATTAAAGAGTTAGTACCGAGGAATACTACTGCGAATTTGTACCAGGATCGCAGCACCACCAAGGAGGTAGTATCAAGTGCAACGCCAGTAGCGTTACCGGATCAAGTTGATGAAAGCAGTACGACTTCACGGAATCGCCAAAGGAAAGGTGAAAGAGATGTGGTACAGAAAAAGAGTGAAACAAACAACGACGAGGGAGGTTCCCCTTTCAAAAGACAAAATGTGATTAACGGTAGTACTTTTGGGTATCGGTCGAATCATACGCTGGATGTTACAGGTGAAATGTAAGTACTATTAGTATGTAAGCGTAATTATGTGCTATGTTCAACAATCTGCTTCTACTTTAAAGTGAAATATATCGACATATACTAAGTGACATATAAATCCGAACACTCAGTTTAAATGGTTTTATTTTAATAAAAGTTCATGAATGTATTTATATTACTGTAAATAACAAGTGAAAAAATTTTCAGCCTTATCAGTTGGACACTCCGGTTTTTATACTGCTTTTTTTTTAATTCACTAACGCTCTAAAAATGAATATTTCAGCCGCAGTAAAGAATCAACGTTGGCGGATTTTGGTTCTTGACATCCTTTACGATCGGTTACGATGCCTAGAGTACGGAGACCTATACGATTTCGTCAACTTAGTGAGTTTGATAGGGGCCGTATAGTGTGGGTCTTCGGGAAGCTGGACTTTCTTTTCGGGCAATTGCAGTTAGAGTGCAAAGAAGTGTAGACACTGTGGTTAGGTGTTGTCAGGCATGGCTTCGAGAGGGCGTACGCAAGGGGCAAGGGGCACTAACTGACTAACAACAGACCGTGAAGATCGCCGCCTAAGATTATTGGCCTTAAGGGACCGTTTCTCCACTACCAGGTCCATTGCAAATGAATGGTTTGCAGAACACGGAAGACCTATTGGCATGCGAAGTGTTTACCGACGAATGAGAAGTTTTGGCTTGTTTTCATACCGGCCACACTGGGTCCTCCCTTTAACTCGAGAACACCGACGTAATCGCCTTGAGTGGTGCAGACAACGGTCACTCTGGGATCAGGAATGGAACAGTATTGTCTTTAGTGACGAGTCTCGATTTTGTTTAGCCATGCACGATGGTCGTGCCAGGGTTAGAAGGCGACGTGGTGAAAGGAGGAATCCACAGTTTTTTGTTGAAAGACATGTTCATCACACTGTTGGAGTTATGGTTTGGGATGCTATAGCTTATGGTTCCAGGTCACCTTTAATCTTCATCAGAGGTAACATGAACGCGCAGCGTTATATCCACGAAGTTCTAGAACCCCATCTTTCACCCTATCTTGACACCCTGGCAGATCCAACTTTCCAACAAGATAATGCCCGACCACATGTTGCAAGAGTCACAATAGACTTCTTTCAACATAATGATGTCACATTGTTACCAGGGCCACCAAGATCTCCCGACTTATCCCCAATTGAGCACGTGTGGGATATGATGGGTAGGAGATTGCTCAATTTGCAACGTCCTCCTCAGACTCTAGAAGCACTTCGAGAGGAGTTGGTGGTTGCCTGGAATGAGATACCACAGGAGGACATTGACCACCTGATCAGAAGCATGCCTAGGCGCGTTGGAGAATGCATAGCACATCAGTGTGCATCCACACATTATTAAAGGTCAAAGGGCTTTAAAGCAGTGCAATCATTTTGAAATTTTTATCATTTACTTATTATGCTTCATTAAGTACTTATACACAATTTTATTAAACTGGGTGTTCGGATTTATATGTCACTTAATATAAAATATCCCAATTCACAAACATTAGCTGCAGTTTTACAAATTTTGGGTTCGTAAGTAATCCATATAAGCTATAGCTACGTACGTCATGACGAAAGCAATTGTTCCAAAATTCGTAAGCAAATCCAAGGCTTTTCGGATTGACATCGAAAGTCCATGTATCATGCTTACTAACGAAGCCAACGTTTTATTTCCAGGCTAAATACTTCGTCCGACCACCTACCATCAAAAACGTCAACCTCCACCGATTCTGAAGAGGTAGTGCTTGCTGGCCGAGGAATGAAGATGCCCAAACCAAATAGTCAAACAATGCAGTACCTGCTTGTCCCAGGCTTCATCTTATCCGGCCTTCTACCATGGGTCATGCCGAAACTGCAGATGATCGCCATGGCTCTGTCCATGGTCAACAATATGGCTTTCACCAGCGCGCTGTTTACTCTGATAAGGAACTTCATTTTTGAGAGGGAATCTGCCCAGAATGTGTTGTATATCAATAACGGATATAAGAAGAGAAATAGGCATCGCAATAAGGGTCATCTAGAACATGCCCCAATTCAGTATGACCACCATGGTCCTGGCTCAGATCACTATGAGCCTCCTGGTAGCTACGAATATCAAGAATATGCTCACCGTCCTTCTGGTTTAGATCACCAGGAGTATCCTAGCAATCACAGGGAGTACCAGCAGTTTCAGGATCATTCACCGATACCTTTAGGGTGGGAGAGTCAGGGGCCTCCTGATAAATTCAGTGAAAAATGGAGGAGATCCAATATTTCTTAAAAATCATTCCGATCTTAAACCATACTTTACATAGTGATGTATTTCCTATTAATTCCAGTAAACTAAACTGTATCCATCGAAGAAACAAAGTAAAATCAAACATATACACCCGTAATGCACGTGATTAGGAACTTAACCGTAGGAGACGCTACAGGGCCGTATCAAGCTATTGTGACTGATCTATAAAAAAATGTCGTACAAGATATGTGTTGCTGTAAATTCTATCAAAAGCATAGTAAATTATCAGGAATATACCACGCCTTTCTAATCATATTTCGACATTAGGAATCAGTGCAAAAAATTCTGTATTCACCATTTCAGCAAAATGTTACTAAAACGCACACGAAAAAAACTTGTGGACCATCTCAATTGAAATTGTTCATATTTTATTATTAACTTACATATATACCCAATAATATTTACAAATCAACCTTCTATTCACAATGCAGAGCAAATTTTTTTGAGCAAATAGAAACTACAGACGTAGTAGTAGTAGTACAAAAGTTTATTACAGACTCCATAAAGTTTGTTAGTTTGATTGCTATTAAAATTTACATGAGAAATAGGAAGAAGGTCAAAATGGCACTATTATGCTTTGGAACTCCTAAATTAACCCTAATTTTGTGTAATTATAAATTTGGAATTTCCACATTAATAACTAGAAACTTACACTTTGATTGCAGTCTATAATGAACTTACCTGTCTTGCCAAAAAGCCCGTTAAACTGCCAGTCTTAATGGTATCAATCGATTTATATGCTGTATTCCGAGGAGCTTGAATCATCAGAATTGTTGATGTCAATTATAAGGGGTTCAACTTGGGTGTCAATGATATTGTCCATATCCCACATTTTGGTTTCAACCTTCTCTTGGACATGGTCAATACATGTTCTCCATTTTGCTGGCGTAATTCTATCGACAGCAACATCAAACAGTTTTTTAAGGTCAGAAAACTTAAAAGTGCTGTTATTTGACGCCACGTATTGCTTGATGTCGGCCCAAATCAATTCGATAGGATTCAGTTCGCAGTGATAGGGAGGCAGCCTGAGAATCGTTTTATTTTGGTTTTTGGCCATTTCGTCAACAATTTTTAAATCATATTTATACTTATGTCGCTTGACTATATTTATCAGCTCAGCTTTGACCAGTGTTTGGTCGAAGTCGATCTTCTTTGAGACAAGCCACTGTTGAATGTCTGCCTTTTTGGTGGCCATTGTTGGAATTTTTTCCAATTTTCTGGAGTGGTACGGGGCATTATCCATCACAATAATTGCGTTATCATCAAGTGTCGGCAAAATTTTTTTGAACCAATTTTCAAATGAGTTACCATCCATTTCTTCGTGATAGTCTCCAGTTTTTTTGGATTCAAATGCCCACAATGCTTCAGGAACAAATCCATCTACGCTACCTATGTGGCAAATGATCAGGCGTTTTCCCTTGCCTGAAAGTAATTAGTTATTTTACTTCTCAGCGAGCGCACTAAATGACGAAATTAAGCAACTTACTCTTTTTAGGTTAGTGTAGGATAGGGTCTTAGATTAGTTTTTGGGTGAAGGAAATACTCAGAAACTTGGATGAGATAGCAAAACTGAGTTCGGAGCTTCCAAATCATTGATTCGATCAGAAAATGAATTATCTGCATCCAAAAAAGTTCATATACTTCGAAACTTACCTGCAGGATTTTTCAATCCCGTCGAAAGGCCATCTAAAAAAGCCTGCCTTGAGGACCTCACAGATCTGTCTACCCAAACCTTTCCCTGCGTATGCCCCGCGTTCACCCATGTTTCGTCTAAATAATAAATTTTTCTTCCTTCAGCGCGGAATTGCCTAATTTTTCTAAGGTATTCTCTCCTCCAGATAACAATTTCCTCCTTTTCTATCAATAAACTATTCCTTCCTCTTTTCAAAAATCGAAAGTCTAGTTCTTTCAACAGCTTATGGAACGTAGATCTTTTAAAATTTGGCAGGTCCACATCATCATTCACTTGCTTCAATATTTTATCTATTGTAGGTATTTCATTCCTGAAGAAAAAGTGATGTACTTTTCTTCTAATGGCACTTTTGTCAAAGTCATCTATTTTTTCGATGATTTTTTTTCTCGCTGGATATGTTTTTGGCTCAGATAGTGAGTGATTTTGTCTATATTCCTTCAAGATTTTGTAAACACTTGATCGACCTACTCCAGAAATTTCAGCAACCTTACATACGATATTTTCTATAGCCAATCCACTATTCTCTTGCATCTGGTTCTTGTAGATATTTAGAATAATTTGTTTCTCACCTGCGCTAAGATGAAGCTTTTTAACCCTTTTGCTGGGTGGCGTTAAGCTGATTTCAACCACTTCATCAGCTGTATCTGTGTCAGACATTTTAGACTAATATTAAATTTCCGCAAGAAAAATCAAGTCAAGACGTGCATAAAACGTTCGCGCTCATAAACGGGTATCCGTAACTGATTACAATCCTGTGCGTGGTGATGAACCATCAACGTGACGCTGAGAGTTCCCTCTACTATGCAGCGTTGCCAGGATTAATGTCACAATGATCATGTTTTATTGGGAAAATTGTCAGAAATCGCCGAATATTGAACAGAAACATTACAAGAAGTCTAACCTTGAAATGTGAGGCTACAAATCGATATTCTTATAGGGGGGAAGGGTAGGGAGCTGTTATGGTTCCTATTAACCTTGGTGAAAGTTGGAAACGGTAATATCATCTATGGCATACATTCGGTTGAAGGTGTGTGCACGGAAAATAGATTGCGGATAGGATTTTAATAGATAAATCTGCACAAAAAAACACAAAAGGAGATTTTTGTATTTCCCTGAAGAATATCTCAAGGTTATTTCAGATGTACTCATCGAAACTTTATGGAAGGATTATCGAAACCTTATTTTCAATTGAGATAGGGCCACATACCTCGACATCGCATTAATGTGAAAAATAAGACAATAGAAAAAAATTCCCTCACTGATGCTATCTCTTAGGAAAAATTTAACTATAAAGATTGCACAAAAATTTTCTTCACCTTTTTGAGCTTGTTTTCGCATCTCCGTATATGCCGTTCATAATTTGCTGCAGATCAAATTGGAATATACCTTTGTGATGCCATTTATTGTTATATAATGTCCTTTACAACAGTTATTGCACGTATTGCACCAACAGATTGATTTGTGATCCATGCGATTGTGATCAACCGCTCTGGCGAAAACTCGCCGAGCGTGGCAACCATGCGACTGTGTCTGGAGGCTCGTCGCTACAAGCCAATCAGGAAGAGGCCGACAGAGCGCCATGGCTACCGATCACGCGTTGATCACGAATCAACCACTGTTTACGATTACTTTGTAGCTTCGTTAGATACACTTTAGTTAGATATGTCGTGCTCACGAACTAAAACTAGAAGCTAGTGAACAAACTATTTTACACATAACGCGTCAGGCGCGATTAGTTATTGGATGGATAATCGCTTCGGAATACCTCGTATTGTTATTTTTTTTTGCTTTTTCATTTTCTGTTTGTTAAGATACATGTTTTAAATTTAAATATTCCAAGTCAACTGTCATATACATTGTGTGTCCCAGCCTATGAGGGCTAACACATTTTTGTTCGACTCGAGATACGCATACCCTCTAATTTTTTCCATCTGACCCTAACTCAAAAAATAAATCTTATTGCGATCGGGGAACGATAACCTGTGCCGACTTTCCATCAAACTTGGAATTTTAAAGTTAATAGTGAAACATGTATCTATGGATTTCAACACATAATTCTTATTCGGCAAATGAAATACTGCTTATATTCTTAGATATTTATTATTAAAAGACCATTATTTATTTTTTATTTTCAAAGTTTTCTTCTTACAGTCCAGTATAAATGCCTGTTTTTGATTCTCAGCAGTGATTAAGCCTTGGAGATCTTGCATTAACTTGACCGCTCTGTCTGCCGTATTGTTAACTGCTCTCGGTGTTTGCACATTATTCTTACCATGTTGAAAATGATCATTATCTGGCTCATCAAGTTAGACACTGGTCGAGAAAATTGTCATCAATTTTGAGTCGACCGAACAAGGACTTGAATTTGAAGTCGTCGATATTTTTCTCTAAAGTGAAAAAAACGAAGAATAGCTACCATGTAAGCGTACTAGTTTTGTCCGTTGGACCACATACAGTCAACTATGGACAGATGTTTTGTGCTTTTTGGCAACTCATCAATAATGGACTCAGGAATAGTAAGGATTGCGCTCTCATTGACACCTAATTTCACTTCCTGGATATAATAGAACAAAACTGCTAGTACTTGTCCATCAGAGGGAAGTTTTGAACCGGTAATTTGATGCTTTACGTCCCTTATTAAAAATGTTCCAACGCAACTCGGCACGTGTTGCACTGGTTCTAGGTACAAAAATCTGCAATCGAAGTTGCACGTACCTCCTTCATCTTCTGGCCTCCCAAAATACTGAACTGCAACGTCGCATTAGCGCCTAAGGTGGTTGAGCAAGTAGTGGCGAACTGATATGGACTATAGAAGAGTAGCGTCACTCCGTCGTTGAAACAGTTTTTCATCCTACATGCAGTTAAACTGTGATGTCTGTGATATAGCAGCTAGTCAGGAGGAAGGTAAACATCCAGGAATGAAGGTCACCTGAAGGTAGTTGACCGCAAAACACCGGATTGTTTTACGCGTTGCGAAACTAGCAGGAAGTGGGGTGCTAATATTTCGATGCTCGGCTAATGATGTAAAGGCGACTGTTGTTATTCCAACATATTTGGAATTTGAGACATCGTCGCTTAAGTTGTAATACCACTAAACGCAAAGAATAACTTATGTATTTGCTTAAAAAAGCCACCGTGAATGCCGGAATGTCATCAGTAGGCACTATTAGCTTTCATTTGTGACTAGACAAACATGGAGGATCATTAGATCATCCGATAGCGACTCCAAAGGCCCACCGTTCTTTTATGCTCTCCTAAAAAGTTGTTAGTTTAAAGTTACATCGTGCTGGAACTCTTTATTGAACAACTAAATTTTAGTGATTCATGACAAAAAGAAGAAAATACGATACAAATTTGTTATTTAGTTTTGCATTCTACGTCAATGATTATTGCCAAACAATTCCAAAGTAGATCGTTCAAGTATATTGCGAGAAAATAGACGTGATGTTCCATTTCTTTATTTAATTTTATACTCTCCAGTCTACATTATTCATGTTCCCTGAAAAATAAATACGAACATACAAAAAACAAAGTGATTGTGATTGCACACAGTTTGGAAAATCTGCTTTCTTTTCTGGTTACTAAGTTCAGCGCTCTTGAACTCATTTTCAAACTGGTGACCGAACAATAATCCATTCCAACCTCTGTTAGAATCAGTGCAGTAGTTACTGATATTGCACAATGTCAAGGAAACCAGAACGACAGGTGGGTTATCGCCAATGGGTGAAACGGTAAAGCACTCTATTTTACAAGCCTATTTTCCAGAAAATGCTATTTATCATACATCTTCTAGACAGAAAAAATAATAATATGTATTACCCTGTATAAACTCAATTACTCTATGACATGCCAAACTAGGCATTACTCTGTTGAAATCAATAAAATTAAACCCATTCAGGTGAACCATCCGCCTGTAACCTTTCTTCCCTTTATTTGGATATCTTGGTCGCTTCCAGGCAGTAAATCAAAAACAAAAAAATCCTATTGTATACCGGCATGTGTGTGGGTGTATCTATCCAGTTGAAGGGTGGATGTAAAGCTGGACATACACGCTAATAATATACTCAGCAGACTGGTTAACTAACTATTATGGATATTCAGATTCATGATTCAGCCACAATATGAATGTATGAATATTTTGGTGAACAAATCATAATCAACTGTCTCTACCCACACTCCGCCGATACACGACGCGAATTCGTACCTAAAATCTCCCAGCGTTTGAGAAGCTTCATTCCATCCAGGGCCTTTGATTTCTTACCTTTCGTCTTTTACTCATACGCAATTGGTCTATCAAATGCTCAAGTTGATGATTCCATTATTACCAACTGTAAACTTTATTTACTATTGCTTTGAAATTGTTCAAGCAAAATTAGAGGGTATGCGTTTGACATCCTAATATACATAGTAGCTATAAGATAACAAAAACAAATAATGCGAGATAGAACTTCGTTTTTTGTTTTCACCACTTCAGGAGATATGCAATGACACACTTTTGATTAGGAGTTCGCAAGAACTGCCCCTTTTTTATTGTATAGCAGACGAAAGGGAAGAAATAGACCAAAGGTGATAAAGCTCAAAAAGTTATGCGTTTAAATGTAAATTTGCAGTTAATTCACATATTCATTTTACTATTGATTTAATTTTTTCATAACTCTCAATAGGTGATATGTTGATATTTGATATTGTTGTTTCTTCCAGCCTTTGTAAGTAGTAGCATTTGTTATTATCTTTCTTAATAACTTCAGTTTGTCCTGTTCGATATCCTTGACTCAAACCACGATGGTATCCAGGCAAATAGTTAGACAACCTTCTGCTTACGTGGTTGCCTAGTGTCAAGGTCTCCTATCTCGTCCGTTCACTCAGTTTGCTTGGATCACCGGGATCCTGTAATACCAGTCAGTAGTGGTGAACGAGTGAACGACGTTTTCGATGAATGTAGTCCACTTAGTTCAGTCAAATAAGAATCGTTCGTTTTAACTAGTTTGTCTGCGACTAACTATTTTGAAATTAAACATTCACTAGTATTAGCTACTCATCATCTCATCCGGTAGAATAGACAAGATTCCATGAAGGCGGTAGGAGCATTGATTACCGTATCCTACCTGAGGATAGCCAACCTTATACTGTATTGCGGTGTCCACAGCAGAACACAAAAATTAATTTAGAAACCTAGAGTGTTTCGCTCTGTTACTGTGTCATATTTGGCGCTAAAATCTTCTATTCCTTTTTGATACCCCAATTAAAATACTAATCAGAAAGACAAATAGGGATTGAAGCATATTATGAGAAGGTAGCAGAACCAAATAACTTAGCTTCTTTCAAAGCGGATTTCTAAATCAATGTTTGTGTCCTTCTTCCGCCACCTGGATGGCGCTATTAGTTTGATGTTCTGACACTGATACTACCATGTTTTGAGCTATGAAATTGAATTCTATTTTTTGTGATAGATAAAAGCACGTTTTTGGATTTCCTTAGTTTTGTGAAATAAAAAAATGTTATGTATTTCTATATGTATACTACATGTTTCCATGTTTATCATCACTGCCTAAATTTTAGATAATATATGTATTTATTTAGTTTATTTTATATACAATAAATAAAAAAGGTGTTACATAAGATACATTATTTTTGGATAAAAGAATTAGACATAAGTGCAAACTTTGAAAATGCCTTCCGTATCTGCTACATTCAAACTACCTATTCCTGGGGCAACATGATAAAATTGATACACTCGAACAAGACAACTATTTAATGGATAAACTGAACAATTATACATATTTTTATGTCTATTTGGTAACAAAATACTTTGTTGGTAACCACTATATTTTATTCCATCCCAAAGGTATGCATTTTAACAGTATTATAAAAATATATTATTTACGCTTATAAAAATCGAAACTATAACCTTATTATGGCATTAGTAACATTATAATAGCAGATATAATTATAAGATCAACAACATGATAAATTATTCCTGCAGCCTTTCAGACAAGTGTTCACAGTACTACTATCACTACTTAACAACAATATAACTGGGTACTATTCAATAAAAGTATCGCTTATGAGAGATGGTTTTTATTATTTTGCAAATACGAAAGATGTATAGATTTAAGAATAATTTAATTTTATTATGAAAATGAATTTTTTCTACTAAGGTTTAGATTTTGTTGATATTCTTAATGATGATATTTAATTTAGGAGTTCAGTATCCTAAACATCTTTTACTGAATTCTACTCAGCTATCCATATCATCAATTAACAAAAACATAACAATAAATAAATATTATCAACAGAAAATAAATAAAACTATAAAACTATAATGCTACAACACGAAGCTATACAGGGTGACTTTGAAGTTGAGTCATTAATTTTCAGATAATGATTGTAGAAGGAAGATAAACAAAAATATGTGTGTAAAAATAAAAAAAATACAAAAAAATGTTACCTTGTCTTATAAAGTATCCTCCCGACAAGTATTTCAGTGCGGACCTGTATTTGACCGTGCGGTCTTGGAGCACCGGCATGCCCTCCCCTGTGAGGTCTTAAGTCACCTGATTCACGAGCCCTTTGTACTACATTAACAAAGGCACGAGGGGTTGGTTGCACTCGATTGGGAAACCGATCCGCAAAAATCCGTGATGCCGCGTAAATAAGAATCATGTCCACAAGTTCAGCATTTTCGTAAACATATGCCATTTTTGATTTCGTTTGAGCCACGCAACAGACACCACTATTCACTCACGCGTTACCGACTGAAACTGACTGTATACAACTGAATAAAATAATTGCAAAAACATCGTTCCAAATTCTTTCGCTTGTTTGTTTCCGACGCGATGAACCGATAAGGCGGATTATATCTGTTGTTGCCAAACACGAGCACATAATATTATTATTGAGACAGGGCGGTACTCAAACTTCCAAAGGGCTATAACTTTGTTACTTTAATTTTACCAGAAAAATGGTAAAGGAAAAAAACATTTCTTTTGATCAGATCTACTCACTATTAAAATAAATGACTCAACTTCGAAGTCACCCTGTATGTTAACAAAAGAAAATGGTTCCGAATAAAAAGTAAAACACAATTGATAAATGCATAGCAAACAAAGGACTCTCCAAGGAACTATCTAAGATATTTCATGATGCTTGAGTGTCAAATAATGAAAAAAATAGTCATTCGGAAATCCTACTTGACAGTAATGAAGTAAAAAAGTAGCACCTCGGAACTCATAGTAAATAATAAGGTCCTACCTATCACACAGTTTCTCTGTCCATTATAGACCATTGGCATTGTACTCAAAATATTTTCTGCGGCAGTTACGTAGAAAAGGAATTTTCAAGTGGTAAATTGGCATCTTCAGGCCACTCCTCCATTAGATCCGTTTTTATTAGTCGATTTAGCTTAGAGTTTCTCTTGATCTATGATGGCCAAGTAAGCATGTTATTTAGATACTCATAGGCAAATTTTTGGGTTTTTTTGATGACAATTTGCATTGCTTAGTTAGCAAGTAATTTCAAGGAAGGCTACTTTAAAGACTCATAAGAAGTTACCTTACAGCTTTTCATATTTTTCACATATCACTTCGTCACTCTTGTTTCAACTGATTCAACACCGTCACATCCTTGATATCATCCTCCCTCATATCCTTATCCCCCCATCCCCAAACATACTCCCCATACTCATGTTCATGCCCCCTATCTTCCCTCTTTCCTCCATTTTCCTTCTCCTCCCACGTGCCATCGCCAGTCCTCTTGACCCTCCTTTTGACCATCGCTTCCGACACCGTTTTCAGGTCGTACGCTTGACCGATGTGAGCCATGAAGTCCAGAAAGGCTGTGCTGAAGTTCATCCTGTAGTTGCCCAACTCTGCCGCTTTGTAGTCCCAAGGGAAGACGTGGTGGAAGTTGTGCCAACCTTCGCCGAACGCAGCCACGGCCACGAATCTGTTCTCTGTCGGGTTTATGTTCCTAGAGAAGAAAAACAGGGTAGTAAATAATCCTTGCTAATGTTATAAATGTAAGAGGGTATGTATACTAAGTGACATATAAATCCGAACACCCAGTTTAAATGGTTTTATTTTAATAAAATTTTGTTTAAGTACTTAATGAAGCATAATAAGTTAATGATAAAAATTTCAAAATGATTGCACTGCTTTAAAGCCCTTTGACCTTTAATAATGTGTGGATGCACCCTGATGTGCTACGCATTCTCCAACGCGCCTAGGCATGCTTCTGATCAGGTGGTCAATGTCCTCCTGTGGTATCTCATTCCAGGCAACCACCAACTCCTCTCGAAGTGCTTCTAGAGTCTGAGGAGGACGTTGCAAATTGAGCAATCTCCTACCCATCATATCCCACACGTGCTCAATTGGGGATAAGTCGGGAGATCTTGGTGGCCATGGTAACAATGTGACATCATTATGTTGAAAGAAGTCTATTGTGACTCTTGCAACATGTGGTCGGGCATTATCTTGTTGGAAAGTTGGATCTGCCAGGGTGTCAAGATAGGGTAAAAGACGGGGTTCTAGAACTTCGTGAATATAACGCTGCGCGTTCATGTTACCTCTGATGAAGATTAAAGATGACCTGGAACCATAAGCTGTAGCACCCCAAACCATAACTCCAACAGTGTGATGAACATGTCTTTCAACAAAAAACTGTGTATTCCTCCTTTCACCACGTCGCCTTCTAACCCTGGCACGACCATCGTGCATGCCTAAACAAAATCGAGACTCATCACTAAAGACAATACTGTTCCATTCCTGATCCCAGAGTGACCGTTGTCTGCACCACTCAAGGCGATTACGTCGGTGTTCTCGAGTTAAAGGGAGGACCCAGTGTGGCCGGTCTGAAAACAAGCCAAAACTTCTAATTCGTCGGTAAACACTTCGCAGGTCTTCCGTGTTCTGCAATCCATTCATTTGCAATGGACCTGGTAGTGGAGAAACGGTCCCTTAAGGCCAATAATCTTAGGCGGCGATCTTCACGGTCTGTTGTTCTACGGCGGCGTCCAGTGCCCCTTGCTCTTTGCGTACGGCCTTCTCGAAGCCATGCCTGACAACACCTAACCACAGTGTCTACACTTCTTTGCACTCTAACTGCAATTGCCCGAAAAGAAAGTCCAGCTTCCCGAAGTCCCACTATACGGCCCCTATCAAACTCACTAAGTTGACGAAATCGTACAGGTCTCCGTACTCTAGGAATCGTAACCGATCGTAAAGGATGTCAAGAACCAAAATCCGCCAACGTTGATTCTTTACTGCGGCTGAAATATTCATTTTTAGAGCGTTAGTGAATCAAAACCGGAATGTCCAACTGATAAGGCTGAAAATTTTTTCACTTGTTGTTTACAGTAAGATAAATACATTCACCAACTTTTATTAAAATAAAACCATTTAAACTGGGTGTTCGGATTTATATGTCACTTAGTATATGTGTGCACGAGAAAAAGGCTGAAAGCCCCAGCTTTTAATGGGTACATCAACAAATTAGTTCAGAGTCTACTCTCATTACTTTACTCTTTAGCTTTCGACGAACTGTGTCATCATCATCAGGAGCTACAAAATATTTGAAAAAATAGCAACTAAATCTGATCTTAAATCACTTACAAAAGTAGGTGAGATTGTTGCTAAATGTTAGTAACTAAGTTAGTGAGAACATTTGGTAATCTGTTTAAAACTGGATCCATGGTGGTAGTAGCATTATATACTTTAGGATTGATGATTAAATGTCGTCATGAGCGATCTTGCTACTTTACAAAATACCGCACGGGACAAAATCATCGGAAGCAAAAAGAGCATGAAGGTTGACATCGGCTTACAGTCAATGGCTGGAAATGTGTGGTGTATCCTTATGGTGGCCGGAATGCCTCTAAATTCAAGATTCATTCATTCATTCGTTCATTATTACTGGACATATTGTTGTTGGGAGATACGTCCACGGAAAGAGGAAAGAAAGGTGTTGATTGACTTACACACATCACTATTTAAGAATTAAGAAGTATAAGGCAGCATATATCCAATCGGAAACTTTGTTTTTAATTTTTTTGTTCTTTTATCAACTGAATAAAGAGCTTGTTTCTGAACGAAATTCTTTTGTTTTTATCAAAGTTTAGATTTACTTACTTGTCGTATGGCTTCGTTCCCCAAATATGTGCAGCACTGTTCACGAGCCATGTGAAATTCAAGGACAAAGTGTATCTGAAAATGGTGACATACCAAGTCACCCACCAATTCTCACCCCAAAAGTACCATGGGATATGTGCAGGAATCATGAATGTTAGGAGGGTCACCAAGGGCACATAGTACCTAAAACAATAATGTTTTTTAATATAAACGATGCTTGTGTTTCATATGTTAATAAATTTGTGCATCACTTCAGGAGCGATTTTGTTCCTTTTTTTAACTAACCTTCTATCATTATTCTAAAGCTTCCTCAGTACGGGTGTATACGTAGTTGTTACTGAGGTCTATCAGTTACGGACGAAAATAATTTACATACTTTTTTTCTGATTATGATCATAATTCGGATTCTAGATTTAGTATTCAGTAAAAATGCATTAAAACTGAACTTGGTTTCACAAGAATTTAATGACTTAGGTATACTATTTGATGCTAGACTAACATTTATTGTGCATATTGATGCTGTTGTTAGCAAGACTTATAAAAGCTTAGCCACCATAATCAAGAATTACAGAGATTTTATTACTGCGAATATCATGATTCTGATCCAAAACTGTTGTTATTTAATATGGTATCTATCCTAACTATAAAATCCAGGTATTCGGAGGCGGTTTGTGAAATATTTATTGTAGATGGAAGAAGTCGGCTTTAGGCATGATATGTTATTTAGCAGATATAACCTCTGTAGAAGGCAGAAACTATGCTGCTGTATTTTTATATTGCTTAATAATGCGATAGGTTGTGAATATTTACTTGGTAAGATTCATATACATGTTCCTTATGCTAAAACGCAATCCAACTAAAAATACTTTTAGATAAGCGTGGCTAGAACCAACGCGATGCTTTCTTCTCTGTTTAAAAATATTTTACATAATAGTTGGTTGAGTCATTTGGTGAGTTCAATATATACTAAGTGACATATAAATCCGAACACCCAGTTTAAATGGTTTTATTTTAATAAAAGTTGGTGAATGTATTTATCTTACTGTAAATAACAAGTGAAAAAATTTTCCGCCTTATCAGTTGGACATTCCGGTTTTTATACTGCTTTTTTTTTAATTCACTAACGCTCTAAAAATGAATATTTCAGCCGCAGTAACGAATCAACGTTGGCGGATTTTGGTTCTTGACATCTTGTACGATCGGTTACGATGCCTAGAGTACGGAGACCTGTACGATTTCGTCAACTTAGTGAGTTTGATAGGGGCCGTATAGTGGGACTTCGGGAAGCTGGACTTTCTTTTCGGGCAATTGCAGTTAGAGTGCAAAGAAGTGTAGACACTGTGGTTAGGTGTTGTCAGGCATGGCTTCGAGAAGGCCGTACGCAAAGAGCAAGGGGCACTGGACGCCGCCGTAGAACAACAGACCGTGAAGATCGCCGCCTAAGATTATTGGCCTTAAGGGACCGTTTCTCCACTACCAGGTCCATTGCAAATGAATGGTTTGCAGAACACGGAAGACCCATTGGCATGCGAAGTGTTTACCGACGAATAAGAAGTTTTGGCTTGTTTTCATACCGGCCACACTGGGTCCTCCCTTTAACTCGAGAACACCGACGTAATCGCCTTGAGTGGTGCAGACAACGGTCACTCTGGGATCAGGAATGGAACAGTATTGTCTTTAGTGACGAGTCTCGATTTTGTTTAGGCATGCACGATGGTCGTGCCAGGGTTAGAAGGCGACGTGGTGAAAGGAGGAATCCACAGTTTTTTGTTGAAAAACATGTTCATCACACTGTTGGAGTTATGGTTTGGGGTGCTATTGCTTATGGTTCCAGGTCACCTTTAATCTTCATCAGAGGTAACATGAACGCGCCGCGTTATATCCACGAAGTTCTAGAACCCCATCTTTTACCCTATCTTGACACCCTGGCAGATCCAACTTTCCAACAAGATAATGCCCGACCACATGTTGCAAGAGTCACAATAGACTTCTTTCAACATAATGAGGTCACATTGTTACCATGGCCACCAAGATCTCCCGACTTATCCCCAATTGAGCACGTGTGGGATATGATGGGTAGGAGATTGCTCAATTTGCAACGTCCTCCTCAGATTCTAGAAGCACTTCGAGAGGAGTTGGTGGTTGCCTGGAATGAGATACCACAGGAGGACATTGACCACCTGATCAGAAGCATGCCTAGGCGCGTTGGAGAATGCGTAGCCCATCAGGGTGCATCCACACATTATTAAAGGTCAAAGGGCTTTAAAGCAGTGCAATCATTTTGAAATTTTTATCATTTACTTATTAAGCTTCATTAAGTACTTATACAAAATTTTATTAAAATAAAACCATTTAAACTGGGTGTTCGGATTTATATGTCACTTAGTATATTTTTAAGCATTTTTCTGTCTTAAAATTGATTCCGGTGTCCCTAAAAGTAGAATGATTGTACTTTTACTACGTTCTTTTCTTCTTTCTTATGAAGTTTTAATTTTATGTTGATGTTACCAATAGATTTAATTGAAAATGTATTTTACGTAATTTTACTATTTCATATTCAGTAAAAAGATAATGACGAATTAAAAAATGAAGTCTTTCAACAACTATTTTCACCTTTCTAAAATAATAATTTAAAAACACGTGTTGTTTAAATTAGAAACAAAAAACAGATTTCTTTAAACACTGGGTATTTATTTTCATTACTATTATTACCCTTGTCTGTTTGTAATAAAACATAAAATTACATGAAATGCTGTGCCTATTCCATAAAATATGTCTAATGAGTCTGTGCACTATGTAATTATTGTGAATTTAGTATGTTTCACACAATATCATCAACTATCATATAGGTAATTGTAGGATTCGGTCCAAAATCGGAGTTTCTGTTTAGTTTCGGTTTCGAACGCCTTATAGCAAATTTATTCAGAGCAAAGGTTAACTTTTTGTCCAATTATGCTTTTAATATTACGTTCTGATGTTGCACCAACATTGAATTTCAGTTTTGTAAGCCTACATAAATCTAGAGACTTTTTTATGTAATTATGACGGTAGATAACTTACAAGTTACCAAAAACCTGACCCTGATAGCTGTTTTCATCACTAATCCTGTGAGATTTATAGAGTTTTTCCGAGCAGCACATGTTTGATATTTAGATGGCACTCTGACCTTGTACTTGAATTTGTATTTGAACGTCAAATTTTCCGCTTCTTCGATTGCCAGCATCAAAAATAATGATCCTCATTAAAAACAATAGAGTTGACTTTGTTAAAAAGTTCGAATCCAAGGTTAAAACTTACCAAAGACCTGACCTTGACAGTTATCTTCATCACCCATCCTATGAGATGTGTGGATGTTTTCCTTGCAGCATTTGGTCTTCATTTGACCTTTAGCAGTCATCCTGACCTCGATATTTAGTTGTGTTTGAACGTAAAATTTTCTATACTTTTGGATAACCAACATCAAAAATAGTGGTTTCAATATATATAACATTTATAGAGGTTTTCCTAGCAACACACATTTGACTTTAAGATGGCACAGTGACCTTGGACTTGAATTTGTATTTGAACGTAAAATTTCCCGTTTCTTGGATTGCCGGCATCAAAAATAGTGATTTTCTTTAAGAAAATTCACTCTGACATAACCTTGAAAGTGAAGGTCAAGGTCAAATCCAAGGTATGCGTTCACTTCCTCGTTAAAACTCATCAAACCACTCATCTTCATCTCATGAAATAGGGGTTGAAGATCAAGGTTAAATTCAAGGTCATCCTTGCTGAATGTTACTGACGGTTTGACCTTGATCTTTTCTAAAAATACTTTACCCGAGAAAATACAGAGCCGTTCCGGGACTTTTACGTCACGCTGTATAAATCTAAGTATCTGTATTCATGGAGACGCTTTCCTTGCGTGGAAAACAAGCGTCAAATAGATTGGACAAATTAAAATGGTATATATACCATCTACCAGTTTTTGGGGCTTCCAAATAGAATCGAACACTTTTACATACGTTGACCTTGAAATAAATCTAATTTCAGTCTTAAGTCTTAAGTCCGTGAAACACAAGTGAATCTCAGCCTTACCTCTTCTGGAACCTGACAACCGGATCTGCCTCAACATCACTCATATCCACCGACTTCCCTTTGCCGATCACCATGGGATGTTTCTTGACCATTAGCCAGCCGATGTGTGAAAAGAAGAACCCTCTGTTGGAGTTGTGTGGGTCAGCGTCGGTATCTGTGAACTTGTGGTGCACTCTGTGGTCTCTGACCCATTCGTGGATGTCGTTTTGGAGTGCGGCCGTCTGGAGGATCATCAGGAATATCCTAAGCGGCGTTTTCGCCTTGTAGGTGCGGTGGGCCCATAAGCGATGAGCGCCGGCAGTTACGCCCAGCGCTGTGAAACACCCGTACAGGATTTCTGGGGGAAAAATCATGTTTTTACAAACTTTCATTTAACTTGACCCACTTTTTAATTAACAACCGTTATGTAGTAATGTCAGAGAAAGTTTTTTCATGAATGTAAATTGTACCAAAAACTAAAATATAATTTTTGTCATCTGTCAGCATAGTCACTAAGGTGTCCCAAAAAAATGAGGATTCATTTTTCCAAACAATGTCAAAACAATTGAAGACACAAGTGGATAAGTGTTTCATTTGTAACATTTTTTAAAAAATTGATTTTTTGTATTTAACTAACCTTAAGGAGTGATTCTTTCATTCTGTGCTGCAAAAACAAGACAATAACAAACTAATTAAAATAAATACTTAAAATGTTAATACAGTAAAATTTGTGAAAAAATTCATTACCATTATTATGTCCACCTTCAAAAGATTTGTGGAATCGGCATGTAAAAAAACCTTTTTCCATTTTAACTATACTAAGTGACATATAAATCCGAACACCCAGTTTAAATGGTTTTATTTTAATAAAAGTTGGTGAATGTATTTATCTTACTGTAAATAACAAGTAAAAAAATTTTCAGCCTTATCAGTTGGACATTCCGGTTTTTATACTGCTTTTTTTTAACTCACTAACGCTCTAAAAATGAATATTTCAGCCGCAGTAAAGAATCAATGTTGGCGGATTTTGGTTCTTGACATCCTTTACGATCGGTTACGATGCCTATTTTTTAACATACTAAATTTGATAAAAAAATACTTAGACCCAAGATTCAAAATGACATTCTCTTTTCCAACTTACGAAATGTGTTCGTCTGCCATTTTGCGCGTGTGAACATCAGGCATAACCCATAGACTCCAGCGGCGTGAAGTAAAATGAAGATCAGCACATTCCTCCACACGATGTCCCATTTGTACTGCGGCTCCTTGGACTTTGCTATGGGCTTCTTGGGCGCTTGATAAACAGGTTTGTAGGTGAGCACTTCTGATTTTGGGCTGATGATCTGTACTGGCTCCGCAGAGGTGGCGTCAGCCAGGAAGAGCGATGTGAGGTTCGGAGCCATCTCAATCTGGAAAAAAGCGCCAAGTAGATTAGTTTAAATCATTTTCTGACATCCCAGTGTTCAGTGAAAAAATAACAACCCCGACAAAAGATAGAAGTAAAAGAGTTACTAACAAGGAGATGGAAGAAATTAAGGACATGATGAAAAGTCTTATGGAGGAGTTTAGAGGGTTTCGGGAGGAAAATCGTGAGGAAATGAGATTACTTAAAGAACAAAATACAATTATTAAACAAAGGAACAAAGACATGATGCAGGAAATCAGTATGCTTAAACAGAAGGTTGAGCAGTTGGAAGCAGTAGAACAAAGGATAGAGCTCCTAGAGAAAGGTAGAAGGAAAAATAATATAGTAATCTCGGGTTTAAACCTAGAGACCAAAAAATAACTCGGATTTAAAGCAATCAATAGAAAACTTTCTGAAAACTAGGCTGTCTCCAGAGGCAGATATTCAGTCCGCCCAAAAAATAAAAGAGAACCTCTATGTGGCAGACTTGAAGAGTTTTGATCCTAAAATGAAGATCATGAAAGCCAAAGGCAAAGTGCAGTATTTGAAAACGCCAAAAATATACATAAACAGTGATTTGACAAAAAATGAGATGATGATTCAAAAGCATATAAGAGACAGAGCTACAACGGAAGGAGCAAAAGGAAATACAGTCAAGATAGGTTATATGAACTTGTTGATTAGTGGAGAAAAATGGAGATGGGATAAAAAATAGCAGGTGTTGAAACCAGACACATTGATACAAAAGAACTAGTAATGTTTAGAGAAAAGGATATCTTGGAGACGACAGAAAATGCGGGTATGACAATGGAACAGGTAAGGAACAGGAATAAAAATAACGAAAGAAATAGGACGTTAAGTAAGTATAAATTTAAAGAAGAACAAATAAGAATTGCAACTTGGAATGTCAGAAGTATTTACGAAGCAGGTGCACTGAAAAACTTAGTCAACATAATGAACGTATATAAAGTACACCTTCTAGCTCTTCAAAAAACGGAACTTAAAGAAACAGGAATATCACAGTGCGAAAATTTCGTATTTTTGTAATAGCGGTGGTGCAAATAGACTTTTTGGGACAGGATTTCTAATAAGCTAAAAGACACGATAGTAGAATTTAAACCTATATCGGAAAGATTGTGTTATCTATGCCTGAGAGGAAAGTACAGGAAAGTAACAATGATCAACGTATATGCCCAAGTGAAGACAAGAATATGGATATCAAAACAGACTTTTATCAACAGTTAGATGACGTGTATATATAGTCTACCAAAATACGATATCAAAATAATACTAGGAGACTACAATGCAAAAGTTGGTCGTGAAGACACTTATCGAAACATTACAGGAGGGAAAAGCAAACATGAACTCTCAAATGAAAATTGCAAACTCCTCATTAACTTTGCAATTGAACAAAACTTCAAGATAATGAGCACTCAGTCTGACAGGAAAGATATTCACAAGACAAAATGGATCTCACCAGATCGTAATGATCGAAAACAAGCATGCCTGCAATATACACAATGTTAGAAGTTGCCGTGGTGCAGATAGTGATACGGATCACTTTATGGTAGTAGCTCTTATAAAACAAGAAATCCTGAAGAAACAGTTAGAGAGACAGAAGACAATCAAAAGGTTCGAAACAAAAGCGCTAGAAGATACGTCAGTTAGACAGCAACTTGAACAAGTAATAACGACAGGACTGCAGAACACACCAGTTGTGCAGGATGTTAATCAGGAATGGAATCATATCCAAGCAATAATCACTAATGTAGCAGAATAGATGATGAGTAAACGAGTACTAGAAAAAACGAAGAGTGGTTCGATGATGACTGTAAACGGGAATTGGAACAAAGACAGAAAGCTAAAATACAAATGGATGTATCTAGAACAACAGAGTCAAGGAAAAGATATGAGCAAGCCAAACGAAAAGTGAAAGAGATGTGTAGACAGAAAAAGCGTGAATTCTGGAAAGTAAATTTGAAAATGATTGGAAGATCACATGATCAATAAAAGCATTAAGAACTTTTACTGAAATGTAAGAAGAAGCAAAATGGGTAGTCAAAGGTCCTCTTGTTTTTAAGACAAAGATGGGTCATTAATTGGTGTCACGCCAGGAAAATTAGAAAGGTGGGCCGAACATTTTGATCAACTGTTAAAGCTATGAAGCGAAGAGGAAAGGTACACGGAAGCAGCACCACTAATCGAAGATGACGATCAGGGACAAATACACAAACCAACGGATCTGGAAATAGAGAAAACAATAAGAGTCCAGGGGAAAATGGAATCACAGCAGAAATACTAAAAGCGGGTGGACAAGATTTACACAAGCGACTTGGAAGTCTGATCAGATATATATGGAATCAAGAGGAACTACCAGGTGAATGGAAAAACGCCGTAATCTGCCCAATACACAAAAAAGGTGATAAGAGTTTATGTGCAAAACTATAGAGGCATTGCCCTGTTAGACACTGCATATAAGATACTAGCATTTCAACTAAGGGACAGATTGAGCATATACGAAAATGAGGTTATAGGTGAATATCAAGGGGGTTTTAGGAGGGGCAGCTCCACAATAGACCAAATATTTACAATAAAACTGCTGTTCTATAATAGCTATGAACAAAATCTTGGTTTACACGTATTATTTATTGATTTCGAGCAAGCGTATGATTCCATTGATAGAGAAAAATTATATGAAGCTATGATACTGCTAGGAATGCCAAGTAAATTGATAAGGTTAGTTTAACTTTACGCTGGAAGCTATTTTACGTGATTGTGGTATACAAACCGACGGAGTTGTTTACTATAGAAAAAATCAGTTAATTGCTTACGCCGATGATATAGCAATAATAACCAGATCCAAAGCAGAACTTGAAAAGACGTTTAGAAGGTTAGAAGAAACTGCCAAACGTTTTGGGCTTCATATAAATTAAGACAAAACAAAATACCTAGAAATGAGAGGAAGCGACGAAGGAAAGTTAACAATAAAAAGTAGTTGCAGAGAGTACTGTTTCGAGAAGGTGAATCAATTTGAATATCTAGTGGTCACAATAAGAGATAAAGCAGAAGAAGATTTAGAAATTGAAAAAAGAATAGCAAAATTGAGTAAAGCAATGGGGGCTTTAAGCAAGATGATAAACTCACGGTGGATATAAAGGAAAACAAAGGAAAGGATATACAAATCGGTCATCCAATCATCAGTACATTACGGCAGTGAAGCTTGGGTGTTAAGCCAGAAAAACGTACATAAATTGGAACGCTGGGAAAGAAAAACGTTACGTAAAATATATAAGGGCACAAAAAACAACGATGGTACATGGAGAAAGCGAATTAATAAAGAACTGATAGAGATGTATAACCAACCCACTATAATACAAAAAGCCCGACCTCAAAGAGTGCGCTGGCTAGGACACGTCTTATAGGAATGCCAAAAAAGTTTTCTTTGGAGGAGAAGGCAGTAGAAGAAGAAGAGGAAGACCGAAGAAGCAGTAGCTGGAAAGTGTCAAAGAGGATATACGAAGACTAGGCATACCAGACTGGGAGGAAAAGACCAAAAACAGAAAAGCGTAGAAAGAAGTTGTCAAAAAGATAGAAGCCATGGGCCTTCAGGCCTGAAGCGCTGAATTATATATACAGGGTGTCCGCAAAGTTGGGGTTTTCCTTTACACGACGTGTAGATCTTGAAAACATAAGCAATTTTTCTTAGTACCATATACACCAATGTCTTAAGGGAACCGAGATAAAGGGCTCTGCAACACCAAAAATATCTGAATACCGTCCTGTAGCCGCGACCCGCCGCGATATCCCAGACTGGTACCGGCTGCTAGCTGAACCCGACGACAGAACTGGGTCGGGGGTCGGGGTCAGTGTGTCAGGTCAGTATGCAACCTTCAACCGACGGTAAAGGGTCACGCGTATAGAGGTAACAAACCCGTATAATCGATTGCGTTTCAAAAAAAAAAGATAATAATGGCAGACTCATACACCAATAATGAACTCGTTGATATGTTGTTAATTTATGGCGAATGTCTTCAAAATGCTACAGAATCGTTGCGAGTGTATGCAGATCGTTTCCCTAGACGACATCATCCAAGGCCCCGCAGATTTGTGTACCTGGTCCAGACAGTCAGGGATACGGGCCATTTGGAGGAATTTCGAGGTGGGCACAGTGGGAGGCCTAGACAACCACGAATGGTGCAAGTTGAGGAAGAACTACTGAATCGCGTAGACGAGAATCCCTCAACAAGCACTAGAGACGTGGCTAGAGAAGTGCAAATATCAAAAACTAAAGTGTGGCAAACGTCCAACGTGTACAAGCCCTTCAACCTGACGATTTTCCAGCAAGAGTGCGGTTTTGTGAGTGGTTGTTGCATCAACATGATAATAATCCAGACTTTTTGAAGTGCATATTGGTGACAGACGAATCTACGTTCACGCGTAATGGAGTGAATAACTTTCGATTTCAGGCAGAGACGTACTTAGCCCTTCTCGTCAACTGGAGAGTGAGTACTTTTTCCTTTATTTTTTTTTACTTGGTCGCCCTCGTTTCACTACACATTACCTTTGTTATTTCAAGGGTAGTTGTTTCTGAAAAGGAAAACCCCAACTTTGCGGACATTTATATATATATATATATAACGTACATATATCTTCGTTGCTAACTTTTTTCTAAGAGGGGCTAGCTTGTGCTGAACAATCTACTGCCATTCTTTTACGATAATGTGTCTGTAGCGTGGCCGTACGTTATCTGAATACACTTTACGATTATATGACGTGCATTTCACGAACATTATTAAAGAGAAAACTAATTAGACTGGCAATCGAGTCCGCAACAAGTATCTGTTTGTATTTGTATTTGTTCATCTTCATGAGTCACTTAACACTATAATAGTATCGGCAAAATGTCATCTTGCAGACTAGGCAGTTTTCAGTGTGCAAATAAAATAGTTGATTTCACGCTATGATCGCTGTGAGCAATATCAAAAGCGTCCATCTATGGAGGAATGACTCAACGACACGACACGCTCAAGCATGCATTGTTGATTGCAGAAAGCGAAGTAGA